GGGCCACCACCCACAGTTTTCTCCTAAAGTTGGTAAGAACTTACGATACCAGCGTCTGAAAAAAAAACAATCCTTTATCACTAATTTGTAGTTAGAGTTGAGCTGAAAAGTGCAGTTTCGGACTTCATAAAAAATCGATCACAAAAAAATTTTAAACTCGGTCTTGGTCAAAAAATCTTGTTTTCACTAAGATTTGCTGAATCGGCCTGTTGGTTAGTAGAACTCTGTCGAACAGAAATTAGTATCTTCCGACTTATAAATTTTATTGTGGTTTCTGCTAATCGCAGAGGATCTGTGAAAGAGTATCCAGCCTGTCTACGCATAATCCGTTTCTTTTATTGCTCCACATTCCAGACTGAGTTATTTTTTTAAGTGAAGCTATTTTTTGCGAATCAAGGTTGTTTTTTTTGCGTCTCATGTGGTACCACTATTGCAGCCGACATCAGTCAGGCTGCGATAGGCCAGGAGCTAGATTTCAAAAGAGAGCATGCCCTCTCGCACTATCATTGACACGGCAAGGAATCGTTTACACCTCACAAACACAAAAACTAATAAAAAAAGGGAAGAGTAATTTGATTCAGCTGCGCTTCGTTAATTCGTAAATTCAGGTATCACAGAAAATGTCGCCAGATGCGAGATCGAGGAACTCAATTATAAAATTTTTTTAATTGAAGTTTTTTCTATTGAAAATGTAAAGGAAGAGGGGTCTGGATGTCATAAAAATGAACTTTTGCTTTGAGAATTTTGTTCACCTTGAAACGACTTTTTGGGTCACAAGTAAAAAAAAATGAATCAAAAAGTTTTAGATGTAGGGCACGGCACAACAACAGTTCCCCTCGTAGATCTGAACTCTTCTTATATTTGTCATTTACTTTAAATATAAAAGCTTTTATGAATTTCTGAAGAAAAAAAGATTAATTTTTCCGATTGGTAAAAACATTGCTAGACAAGATTTTAAAAACTCGTCAAAAATGCTCATCGGAAGAGACAATTAATGGGTCTACCAACAGCTGCCTCGGACTAGCACATGAATGGTAGAAATTATCAGGGTAAAATCATGATATTAGAAAAAAAACCCAAGTTTTTAAAACTTTTCGTATGCAAACATATAATGCGTTTAAGCAGCGGTAAACACGGCACTGGCAATGAATTTACGAATCCAAATTTCATCGGTAGAAAGCTTGTTATGTTTTCAATTTTTTCTAAGTTTTAAAAAGCAATTGTCCAATAATTTCAAATAAAAGTCACAAAGGTTGTGATATCTCCAGAACTAAAACGCCCTATAACGTCAGTTTTCGAAAGAACTTGCAACCCACAGTTATGAACCCTGTAGCATAAACAAATGGTTTTCCAATTCTCTGTTGTTTTAAATTAAAAAAACTAAAGCTGCCAGCGCGTCGTTATTTAACAGATAACTAGTTTTGAACTACTGATAAAAACTATTATTTTTGATAAAAAATAATATTTTTTTAATTTTTCTTCAAGTAAGCTTGAAGAAACTCGATTGTTATAATTAAAAAAAATCAGATTTCCGGTAGACTACTGATTGCCCTCCTAAACATGTTTTCCTTATTGTTTATTTTCACTAGGTTTAGTTTATTATAAGCTGGTTGACGGAATGGGTTTTCAAAACAAAATGATTCACTCATGAAATTTTCAGTGCTGAGATTCTTTAACGACCGCAGTAAAACTTTTAGAAACTTGTACACATTAAGTTCATCCACTGTTAGCAGTTAGTTTTCACGAAAAAATCTTCTGAATGGTCACTACGCGTTCTAAACTTTACCACTTTTATCATACTTTGCTGAAGCCTAAAAATTGGCAGCAATCAAAAAAACCATAAGAGTTGTACACAAAGTAATTTGATTATCGTTTCGAGGATAAGGCAATTACAAACTAAAATTGATGCCGAGATGCGTAAAATAAGTGCTCTCAAATAATGCGTGTTTGTTTTGCTAATAGCATTTTCTCAGTATTTTAATGGGAAACAACGTTGTTTCTCAAATACTGCATGTGGAACACAAGATTTTGCATCAACAAGTTTCCCTAGATACCTTCAAACTGTTTCAAATTTTATGTCATAGATGTTTAGCTGGAAGACCACTGAACTGGAGGTCTTTACATTCATTTGTACTGTTTTATCCTCATTTAGAATCGATTTACTGACGTTAAGCTAATTAGTCATATAATTGGTTGTCTCTTTGCATTGAAATTAATAATTCGTATAAAAAATTTTTTGTCTATTTTCACACATGAAGCTCGTCATTCAAATAAATCAGAAACAGCAAAAACCCTAAAATAGATCCTTGAAGAACACCACATATTACTGTAAACCTGTTAAATAAAATTTTATTTTTTTCTCTACATTGCCTACTATCCCGTAAATACAAATAAAATTAATTGTGGGTATCTTCTATAATGTTGTATGATTCCATTTTCTGTTATAAAAGTGGGCGTTCTTTTGTATCAAATGAGTCATCAAATAAAAAAATGATGATTTTTTGCCCGCAATATTGGTCCGTAAAAATTCTCAAAAACTCAAGGTCTAATTTTAGTTATTTGGATAACTTTTGCTATTTTTAGTCTATTGGGAGAAATCTTTGCAGGAAGGAAATTATAAGGAGCGAAGCTAAGTAGGAAAAAACAGCAGAAACGATAGTTTGACTTATGTTAACAAAATGTTATCTCTGATAACGTTTTCGTCCGATGATGATTTTTTGTCGAACTATTCGAATTTTGTTTGATTTTTGAAAAACTTAAAGAAAACAAAAAAAAAACTGATTTCCCAGATTAGTTCAAAATTGCTGATGATAGTCAGCTCATGTTCATTTTAGGGTCGGTTTCAATTGCGGAGAAAAACTACCACATTTTTTAGCAACATCAAACATTGACGGAGTATGCATCAGTATAGTATATTTTTTCAAACTTGAATTAATCAGTAGTTCAAAAGTTGGTGTTAAATCTCTTAAACATGCAGAGAACTTTCAAGGATAGTTTTTTCTTTTTATTTATTTTTTCCGACTTAATTCTCAGTGGTTTGAATTTGTTCAGTAAAAACAAGTTTGTTCGGTTGATGTCCCTTTAGATGATAGGTTTTTTTTCTTGTTTTTGAAATTAAATATAATCTATATCCGTAATCTATAACAATTTTTATTAGAATCTGCAGAAAAACTTTTTAATGATGCGGAATGGTCGGTATTGCGACAAAGTTTGAACTCATTTTTTAAGTTGTAGTTGCAGATTACTATGATACATGGCGAATTTATGTTAAATTTTAACAATTTGTTGGTCATGGAAAGATTTGCAGTATTGCAATTCATTGTAGACCATTTGATATTGAATAGAAAAATTTTGCATTCTAAAACTGGTGTTCAATTTTAGTTAAATTTAGCACCTTGATTTGATTCATGCTGGTATTCTTCCTTTCGGTAACTTGTTATCTCCTAATATCTAATTCATAATCTTTTGAAAAAAAAAAACAAAGTTCACGTGGTTTTTAGCTAGTTGATTAGTTTTTGAAAAATCGATTTGGAGATCACCCCCAATTTCAAATAATACTGAAGCCAAATAGTTATCAACCAAAAACTATCTGGTTTTTCGATAAGACAAGTTTGTTTTCTGTTGCAGGATTTTATATCTCGGCTATTTCAAACTGGAAGAATTTGTTTTTTAAATGTCGCTACAGCACATTCTTTGATGTGTTCGTTATTGATTTCAAAGTTTCAAAAAACAGCTCGTATTTGTATCATAACTGTACTTTCACTGGTTTTTCGGTGGTATAATACACATTTTTTAAAACCGTCAAATAGACAGCCTTCACAATAATGCTTGTTTGATAACCACATTTGGACACTAGCGCTTACAATTCATTAAATTGACCTTTTTTTAAGAGATCAAATTTTGTAACTTGTCGACAAAAACTAATATTTTTGGGTTTTTGTTTTTCCTCGACCCAGTGAAAGATGGTCAATTGATCTAAATTGCAGGGTGATAGTTGCTCCAATTTTATTGGCAGGGTCAGTGATTTCTTTCCGCGATGCTGGTCATAAAATTTTTCATCTGATGTTTCAGATTTGCAAACATAGTTGTGGTTAAATTGTTGATCGATGCATTGATTATTGTTAGCATTAACTGCACTAGAAAGTTATTTGCTGAAGTTATTTGCAGAATTGGAAAACTGTCTCTAGCTTTGAAATGGGTTTCTGATTGAGTGTTTAAATGAGTGTCCAGATTTGAGATGTTGTTGTTTGATTTGTCATCAGTAACCTCATTTACAGATATGTAATAAAAAATCACAACAGTTTGTCTTGCTGCAGTGATAAAAAGTTTGCAGTTATATGTTTGCAGGTCAAAGTTTTGCAGATATGTGTTCCACAGCAGTCGAAAAAAATTTACAAAAAAAAATTTTTTAAAGCAAACCTTTAACTTATCGAAAAAAAAATTGTATTGTTTTTTTTTCGACAGTTTTGTACATGTATTGGATAAGGCCTACACTGAGCTCAAAATATTGGAGTTTGAAGTTTTGCATCGAAACTTAGTCTTCGATATGCTATTCGAGTCGGATAGCTCCCGGATACTGCACAAAAACTAACCCTTCTTGATTTTAGTTTACGAAACTCATTTTTGGCTGGCGTGATCGAAAATTTTTATAAAGAAAACTGACGGCAATGATTTCCAATATGCAATTTTCTAATATGCGTGCCTGTGTAAATGCAATTTTCAGACATTGTTTTTGGCACATTTTTTCAAAAACTTTTCTCCGCGGAGAGGTTTTAAAGCTAAGTTTGTTTTTTAGTGCTTATGGAGAGCTCAAAAAGCCAACTTAGTCCATGAAACCACAAAACTCTTTTTTCTGGATAACCACCTCCTTTAAACTATAAATATTCCGCTGCTGATTTCCATTGTAAGGCAAAACGTGGAAGGAAAAGACACAACTGAGTTCGAGTTTTCGCTTCCACGTCGGGAATGATTAAAACAATTTTTTTTTGGTTTGTACGTACCAATAACAAGCATGAAGACTTTGACAGGCATCACGAAAGCTCCGACCATCAAGTCACTAATTGACAACGATGCCACCAAATACATGCTCATGTTATGCAGAGAACACCTTCTGTAAATTGTGAACAGAACCAACACATTGCCTAATAAGGTAAGAAACACAACAACGCCATAAACGGAAACTTCAATTGTAGTCTCGACAACTTCTAAAGTTTCAGTAATCAGCAACGGAGATGAAGATGATGATAATAACGATGGTGACGGTGGTGAAGAATTGAGAGATAACTCAGTGTAACTGCCTACAATTGAAATTTTGTCATGTTTTTCACCCTCTTCAACGGACAAAAAAGTCTCGCCCTCGAGCTGATTTTGCGTTAGAGCGATCGACATTTTTCACGGTCTGATGAAAAGGCTTTTAATCATGACCAGGGAGTGTGAAATAGTTATTGAGTTTTTTTGGTATAATTTGGATAGGCTGAATTTGACGGGTAGTTGCTCTAATTGTTCGGGGGTAAGAAGGGCGTAAAGTAACTTTGATAGCGCTGCAGATAGCTGTTAAATATAAAATCAGGGGCTCTATTACAAAGTAAAAGGATCCTTTTATTTCAAACTCAGAAAATGGCCAGTTTATACTTCAAACTTGGGTTGAGTTCTATACTTGCTACCCATTTCGAAATATCTCATTAATGATTTTGTGACTGGCCATTTTTACCCGCTAATATAAAATGTTGCGCCGTTTTCGCAGGTAAATTAAAACGGTTACAAAGGAACGATTTGGTTCATTTATGGTCCCTTAATCTCATCTCAGATAACAAGCGTAATCTTTTAAAGCTTCACCACTCGTTAAATTTAATCAAATTGGTAACAAGATCTACTTTTTAGGTTTTAGGTCGAAAACGAAAAGTATACATGGATGAAAGAGTACGCAGCCAAAATGTTCCAGATCAATTTCAATATAATATTAGAAAAAAAGTTGCTATTTTTTCGTTAAGCTTCTAATTCATTTGACCAAAAGTGTATTGAAAATGAAAGTATCCGTGTAAAAATTGATGAAATGATATCATACCAAGAAAATAAACGGCAAGTAAGAATCGTTTTCGAGCAGTTGGTGTATTTCGGGTAATTGCGGCTAATGAATGTTGACGCTATTGCAAAAGCTTTTGGACTTGATTTTTATTTGTTTCTGTTTCAAAAAGGGCAACAAAATGGGAAGAAAAAATTGGCAGTTATTCCGATTCAAAGGCAATAAAAATGAAATTACTCTTATATTGAATTACTGAGGAAAATATGTCAATAAGCAAGACCGCTTTTTCAAATATTTCAGCGAATGAAATAAAAGCAGCAAAAAAACTAAGAAAGGCTACAAAATTAAATAAGAAAAAAAAACTTTTTTTTGGTTCGGATATAAGAGAAAAATATGCGGAATTTATGATGGAAAAAATGAAAGTGTGATTATCCAATGGAACTATCCTTATGTTTAGTTAAGTCATCTAATAACCATGTCGGGTCTAACCATTTATCACTTAAATCGATTCCGTTGTAGATTATACTGACAAACGACGGGAGAAACTACCTGGCTTAAAAAATAACAACACCGCATTAACTAACAGCCAGTTTTGTATGAAATAAACACCAATACTGGTTCAAATAATTAAAGCTAGCGAGCGATTTATAAAAATTCGCTTGCCGGCTCAATTAGACGTCACTGACTTTTTTCATTAAAAAAATGAACGGCTGAAGTACACATAGGAAGCGTATATTTTTCAAATTGTATGTTTTGCTTTAAAGTGTTTTACTTTTGCTTATGTTTCGTGACACTTGAACCGGTAAGTTGCCGGAACGCATGAGAACTATAACTTCATTTCAGATTGTATGTACTAATTCAACAAATAGGGATGCAGATGTGGCTTGGATTTGATGGCAGGGAGGGTCTGGTTGCGATAAGATAATCGGAGGATAAAGTACTACTGTAGAATTAATGAAGTAAGGTAATCGGTTGCTTCCAAAGATTGGAGAGAAATACGAGAAAATACTGAAGCTACTGATAAGAACTCCTATAGGAGCTGAAAACTGTTAATTAACTGAACAGTCTATAGATTTCACGGGACTATGAAAAAAAAGGAAAATGAGGAAAATGTCAAAAATGGCAACAAAAAGAAAGAAAAAGAGCACAAATCAATCAAATCATGTAGAAGCGTTGAATATTTCGACTGCTTTTTCTCTATAACTTTCAAGAAATTTGTTTAGAAAAAAAAAGATTATAAAAAATTTATTTTAAAAACTAATCAGATTTTGTTTGAAAATCCCACAGTTCCTCTATCACCACGCATTGTCCATAGACTATTGTTCAACTTGATGTATTGATGTTGAATCTAGTAGCCTATTAAATGGACCAAATAGCTCGCTTCAAATGAAAATGAAATAAGTTCTGTGTCGGCAACTCGTTATTTAAACGAGACATATTGTCTGTTAATAATCCCAAAATAGCCAAATTGGCAACTTTCAAACCCTCAGTACTAAAAAAACCTACCAAGATGAAAAACCATTTATTATTTGCGCTAAGCATAGCAAAATTTGTTGGATGATAACAAAAACTACCATGATGCGGCAGCTGGTCGAAAGCGACAATTGGGCGAGAGCGATGATTCTGACTCCTTCAAAAAAGCAACAAATCGTACCAACGAAAGTTAGTAAGATTTAACTGGCATGCCGCAATCGGGCTGATACGTGTTGCGTGCTTGCCAGAACCGAGACACGAACTGTTTACGAAAATGCTTGGCGGCTATCAGACCAAAACATCGACGCGCGCGTAGCGCACACACCACCAGGCCACTAGGCGATTATGTCAACAGTTTTCGCTTTTTCTCGATACTACCAGTTGTCGTTATCAATCACTCATCGTATTCGACGATTTGTCGCTTCGACGAAAACAGCACCGAGCAAAATTCATTCCGTCAGTTTCTTCAAAAATCGGAACAAAAAGATCAGTCAAATTAAGGGAAAAAAATAATACAATCAGCTTAATTTTTTGAAAAAGCATTCAACTGATTTAGTATGACACACCATTCTATTTAATCTGAGGTGAAACTGTGATGTATAGAAAAATACACACCATAATCCAAATTGCCTCAACGCCTCCAGCGGTCGACACAAAAAATCTGCATCAATTAAAATTTTTGAACTCTACTTTTCGGGTCTGCTCATATCCATTTAACCATTATCCGTTTGATTTATTGGTGCCACGACATTCAATTAAAAAAATTCAAAAACAAATTAAAATCTGTTTATAATTTGTTTCATGTCCTGTACTTATTATTTGGTCTTCATAGTTTTATGAAAACACTTATTTATCATGTTCCCATTTATTACCACCTAAGCCAATTAAAATGTATAATTGCTTTTGTAGAAAAAACAATTGAAAGCTTCTAAGTTCTTTAATTGAAATAGTTAGTTAGGGTTTTAGAAAATTCGAAGCGTCTTTCATTTTTTGCAGTATATCTAAACTGAGAAAAGGCGAATCGTTTTTTTTTTTCATTTTCGCTCACATTTTTAGACGCAAAACTTACAATTTTTTCAAAAAGGTTTTAAAACATTTTGAGCAGATTTTTTTGCAATATTTTTCTCACGACTGATAAAGGCTTCTTTTCACTTCAAGATACAAACTATTGTAGAAATGCTGCGGAATATTGAACCTAAGAATTCATGAAGTTTAATTATGATAATAACAATGATTTTCCGAATCTCGTACTATTACATTAGTTAAAACTAATACCAACTTTCACTGCTAATTAAGTATTTTTCTGACTTTCGTAGAAAAAAGTTGAATTAGTTGTTCTATTTGTGAATTCTTTTTCTTAGATAAGTTTCAGGTTTTCAAATAGTCGTTTTTGCGCAAGAATTTCAGATCATCATCTGAAAACTATTAATGTTTCAGGCTGAAACTTTGACCAATTTATTAATGTTCTTGTGTTAACGAATAAATTATGGTTGTTTATTTTGCAAAGTTCTCAGCCGTTATTTTCCGAAAAAAAAACAAGAACCGAGAAACTCATCAGCACAAAATAAACAAGACTGCTTTAGGGCAAAACTTAGAACAATTCAGCTGCCTTGTATTGTCTTTAAAATAGTTTTTGCTTTAAGAAATGGCCCCAGAAAGGTAGTTGTGTTACTCAGTGTATTGGTAAAACTGAGTTACTTAGGACGTCAAAATGAGCTACATGCATTTTTTAATACTATATTTCCCACGCTGTTTTAACCAGAGCTCACACTATGCACAAAAGCTATTTAAAAAACTAAAAACTAGTAAAAATGGCCACGAAACAATTTGTTTTTCCAAATTTTTCATTGGTTTTAAATTTAAACACTTCAAGGAATTTTGTGACACATTTGAATTTTCTGTTAGGTCACTTCTTTTCTTTGGTACTAAAGTGACTATAATTTTTGATAAAAACATACTTTGCTTGGTTAGCACTCAAAGTGTTCAACGTGCATGATTATCTTGAATAAACATTATCGACATAGGTTGACAAAATGTCGCTCAAAACAACAAAAACAAAAAACGGTGCTTCGTGAATTTTTGAAAGCTTTTCTAGAGCTCTGTTGAATTCAAAACTGCTTGAAATTAAAATTTCGATCTTCTTTTTAAAAAATGTAATTCTTCCATTGGAAGCCAAATGGTGTATTTTGAAGTGTTTGTGCGTACGGCTAGGCACAATAAGATTCAAATTCTAGTAAAATGCTTTCTCACCTATTGGACCAGATAAGTTTCAAAGTTTCAAGTCTATAGAGATTATATTTTCAAAAAGCTGCAGAAATTTCCGATTTAGGTACCGAACCAAGGTTTGAGCCAAGGTAATTTTATTTAAAAGGTTCAAAACCAAGTAAACTTAATTTGAATTACAAATGGCGCGCCCGTGAATGTAATGAGCAAGTTCCAATAACGGTCTCTTAAAATGCTATCTTTCTCCTAAAGTTCAGTCATCATCATGAAATCGTTTCTCCAGAGGTTTCAATTATTAATGAAAAATCAAGAAAAAATCGATTCTGCTGGACTTGGTTTTATTCCAATCCAGAAGACAAATTAATAATAAAATAGTTACTAAGACTCTTTTCCCCATCCATCGAGTGCTGATTTAATATCTTTCCTCGCTCTTTCGAAGCAGTTTCCATTAGCTGAAGGTCGAAGGACCAATGTTAAATTAAACAGAAGTGGTTTTAAAGTTAGATAAAAAAGATAGACTCAACATGAAATTTCCGCGATGACGTATCAAATGGCAGGGATATTGATTTTACCATTTTTAACTAATGGTGGGGAAATCTAGCACCCAAATCAATCAATGTTTGCGCGTTGCGGAGACAAATTACCGGACGCATCCTTACGCATCAATCATTGCATTTGCTTTAATATTATGGATCTCTTTATCTCTACTCCGCTCCCCCTTGCTACCTAACGAAGTTGCCACCCCTAGAAAGACGAAATTCAACTGTTAAGCATATTTGATTTTTCCACCCGCAACAGGGGGGGGGGGGGGGTAACTAATTCAAGAGATCCAATAATATTAAATAGGAAATTGTGAGCTATTAATAAAAATTAGGTTATACAGATCTCCATTCTGTCAAAAACTGTTGTTAGGTGATGGTTGAACTGATCAATACAAACTTGAATGCTTGTTTTACAACTCATTTTCAAAATGTTAGTTCTAAAGTAATCAATTTAGCGAAACGAATGACACTGAATTTGAATGTTTTTGTCCCGATTATTGTGCAATTTATGCACTCAAATAAATGACTTCAAATTGTTCTATTAACTGAATCTGATCTCAAAATTTTGGCTCTCGTATTTTGTTTTGCAAGCAAACATTTAGGCCAAAAACAATGCAGCCGATATGAATTTCAGACAGTTCAGCCACAGACAGTTCAGCTTGCCGAGCTTGCCCTCAGAGGGTAGGACTCTATACACAATATAGAGCCTGTTATCGCCGCGAAGTGGAGATGCGCGCCCATTGGCGACCTTAAACCGATAATTAACTCCAACTCCAGTTTTTTTCCATTTTAACCCTTTTGAAAAACTGACTACATTGTGTGGGTATTTTTTTGCTGAATTTCAAGTTGGCTGTAATTTTTTAGCAGAATTTGGTTTGTGCGCCATTTTGTTTCCTGCTCGCCAAGTATTGTTTTGCATCAGGAGTCACTTCCAGCTGTGTTCTGTCATAATGTTTCGATAAAAATTTCAGACACAAAAAGACTGCTCACATCAAGGCGAAGCCCGGAATGTCGAGACTGTTTTTTAAAGTCAATGGTGTAGTGTTCG